TTTTTCTTATGCCACACCATATTCATTCATTTCTGCTTGCCTTCTAGAGGTATTTGAGGTCGCCATTTCCAATCTACACTAAACACTCAAAGTTTCATATGCCTTGTTTCATCTTAGAAAGAAGTGCAACATTTTTCACAAATTGCTTCTCTCTCTCCACTCTTAAATCCTTCCACTCTTTCCCTCTCTGTTCTGTTGCCACTAGTCATGGTCCAGTCCCAAACTGAATTCAAGTTTCTCTGAACATGCCATGCCCTTTCACAATCTGACTGCTGCATGATCTACTCTCTCCAACTAGAAACCCTTTTTTCCTTTTCATTCTCTAACAAACTCCTACTTGTCCTGCAAAATGCATACTTATTTGCAAAGCCTGCATTCCTTATGCTTGTTCTTCCATATTTTCTGCTCATACCTGTATCACAGTTCTTTAATGTGTTATAAATTATGTTTACTCACCTGTAGATGTTTACTCTATCATCATATTAATGCTTAAGAACAGAAAATATTTGTCTATCTTGAATACATGACACCCAGTATCCAAAAACTTCTGCTGAATGACTGACTGCCACAATAATTTCAAATCCCAACTCTACACCTTCCTTAGCGACATGAGCATGAAATCAAATTCACTGCATTGAGTAGATTCTGACTCAGTGACCATATAAGACATGGTAAAACCAGCCCATTGAGTTCCCAAGGGTGTAAATTCTAACAGAAGCAAGCTGCCACACATGTATGCTGCAGAGCAGCTGCTGGGTTCAGAACACTAACATTTTGGTTAGCATCCAAGTACTGAGCCACTGTGCCGCCAGGGTTCCTTGACATGAGCCTAGGCAAGTTAATTTCCCCAAGCTTCAGTTTTATCATTTTCAAAATCAGGTAATAGTAAATAAACTCACTACTAAGTTGTCAATAATTTACATATAAGTGGTAAAATCACTATAATAATAATAGATACAAGCAAGAATCACCAAAAAGTACCAAAGCCTACGGTGCAACTCATTGGTCTCTCCCGTCCAGAGGTAAGAAATGTGATGAAAATTGAAGACACTTGGAGACAATTAGCCTAATGGACTAAGAGACCACGTGAACATCAGTCACCACAACCCTAATACCAAAAGAACTAGATAGTGCCCTGATATCACTACCAAGTGTTCTGAAAGGCATCACATTAGAAGATCCTGGACAGAGTGGGAGAAAATGTGGAACAAAACTCAAAACCAGGCTTACTAGTCAGACAGACTGGTGGATCCCCAAGACTATGGCCTTTGGTCATCATTCAGGTATGGAACTGAACTTACCCCTGTGGTTTAATTTCCAGGCAAGTAATACATAAGAATGTGGGGATGTGGGTGGTATGCCGTGGAGTCAGTTCCAACTCATAGCGACCCTGTATAGGGTTTCTGAGGCTGTAAATCTTTATGAGAGCAGAAAGGCTCATCTTTCTCCTGCAGAACAGCTGGTAGTTTCAAACTGCTGACCTTGAGGTTAGCAGCCCGATTCATAACCGCTATACCTCCAGAGCTCCTTACACAGGAATATAAGGAGGACAATATCTGTAGTGAGGTCAGCAGGTCAACCATTCGAGATCAAAATGGCAGCATTTACCAAAGGACAAAATTCAAAAGCGCTAAAGGAGCAAAGGAAATAAGAAACACCTGGAAGAAATAGGGTAAGTGTAGTTATACTGAGCAACAGCAATTGAAATGAAGGTGAATGGTTTGTTGAATGTAAATCTTATATTTTTAGTGGCAAAATTTATGGTGAAAGTTTGTGGGAGACTAGGAAATGTACATATTTGAACTATCACTC